AAGAAGACATCGTTCATCATTCCAAATAGGACCTATTGCTACAAGGTCATGCCCTTCGGGTTGAAGAACGTAGGAGCAACCTATCAATGACTAATGAACAAGATGTTCTAGTCACAGATCGAAAAAACAATGGAGGTATACATGGATGACATGCTGATAAAAAGTCTCACAACAACAAGCCACATTGACCACCTCCAAGAAACTTTCAACTTTCTCATATCCTATCGCATGAAGTTGAATCTTGAGAAGTGTGCCTTTGGCGTAGGCTCAGGAAAGTTCCTTGGCTTTATGGTCAACTAGAGGGGAATTGAGGTGAATCCCGACAAGATAAAGATCATCCTAGATATGAAGTCACCGTCCTCGACCAAGGAGCTCTAGTACTTCAATGGAAGAATTGTAGGACTCAACAGGTTCATTTTCAAGTCTGCAGATAAATGATTGTCTTTTTTCAAGATTCTCCGAAAAGCTTTCGAGTGGAGATCTAAGGTAGAGGAGGCCTTTCAAAAGCTCAAAGCCTATTTGGTTACACCTCCCCTCCTCTCATATGCTACACCAGGCGAAACATTATATTTGTACCTCTCTGCTTCCTCGTCGGTGGTAAGCTCCGTCCTCATCAGAAACCAAGATGGAGTGCAAAAAGCCATCTATTATGTGAGTGGAACATACTGAGAAGTAGAAGTTAGATATTTGGGGTTAAAGAAGCTAGTGCTTGCTCTCATCTCAACAACTAGGCGTCTATGACATTATTTCCAAAGTCACACCGTGGTTGTGATCATAGACCAACCTCTAAAGAGATTCTTGAAAAAACTGGATGTATCTGGGAGACTCCTTAAGTGGGTAGTGGAACTAGGGGAGTTCAATATTCAGTACTAGCCAAGGGCAGCCATCAAAACGCAAGTATTGACAGATTTTATTATTAAGGTTACACTAGCAGGGAGAAGACCAATGAGCTCTCCACACTTTAGACATCGAGCCTAGACGTGCAAAGCAATCTAACGTCCAGCGAGGACAACCAAATGCCCGACCAGGACAACCAAATGCCCGACAAGGACTCCCAGGCACCCAAGCACCCATGCTAGGCACCCAAGCCCTCCAACTTGGTGCCTAGGCACCCCAACCTGCTCCCATAACCGTCTTCGAGCCCTCCTCTCTGCCCTTGTAGAACCTTTATATGGATGGCTCCTCAACTAGTGAAGGAGGTGGAATAGCCTTAATCCTGATCAACCCCAAAGGCACCCCCATCAAGTATGCTGTGAAGCTCCACTTCATTGCCTCTAACAATAAGGAAGAATATGAAGCACTCTTCTCTAACCTAAGGTTCGCAATTGAAATGGAAGCCCAACACTTGATCATTTACAGTGATTCAACAGTTGATAGTTAACCAAGTAAGGGGAGAGTTCAAAGCAATAGCAGCCAAAATGCAGGAATACCTCAGTATGGTGAAAGCCTTGATCGTGAAGTTCCAATATTTTCGGATTTGTCACTTCCCAAGGGAGGACAACATGGTTGCAGATGCACTCACCAAGCTCGCCTCATCTTTCGAGGGACCTCTAGGACCAGTATTTATTGGTCTTTAGTTTGAAGCAAGCAAGTTGGACGTAGAAGCCACAAACATCAACTGTGCGTCTGCTGAGTCAAATTAGATGACCCCGATAAGGACATACCTCTATAGGGTGTATTTGCTAGAAGATTCCCTTGAGGTCAAAAAGCTCAGGATAAAAGCCTCCAAGTTTACTATTTTACAATATACATATACAAAAAAGGCTACTCCCTGTCGTTGTTCACCTGAAGAAGCTAACTATGTTCTGAGGGGGATCCATGAAGGGATTTGGGAACCACTTGGAGGATGCTCCCTCGCCCACAAGGCGCTTAGACAAGGCTACTTTTGGCCTAGCATGGTGAGGGACGCCCAGAAATTTTCCAAGAAGTGCGACAAGTGTCAGCGCTTCGCCACTGTGCCCAAGTAGCTGCCAGAGGAACTCACGGTTATCACAAGTCCGTAGCCTTTCTCCAAATGGGGCATCGACATCCTGAGCCCCCTAACTTTTAGTAGAGGACAGTGTAAGTTCTTGTAGGTAGCAGTGGACTATTTCAATAAGTGGGAAGAGGCTGAACCCTTTAACAAAGATAACAAACGCAAAGGTGAAAGATTTCATCTGAAAAAACCTAGTCTGTTGCTTCGAGATACCCCACGCCATTGTCAGCCACAACGCCAAACAGATCTACAACAAGCTCCTGAACTCCTTCTACTCTGACCTTCAAATAAAATAGCCTTATTTGAGCCCGGTGCACCTACAGGAAAACAGACAAGCAGAGGTTATAGTGAGAACGGTGCTATGCAACCTAAAGACAAAGCTCGAAAAGGCGAAGGGTCTTAGGCGTATTATGGGCCTACCGAACCACACCAAGAACTTCAACTGAAGAAACCCCCTTCTCCCTTACCTTTGGAATTGAGGCGGTCATCTTTGTAGAGATTGGGGTGCATTCTCTAAGGGTCCAACACCACGACCCCATCACTAACAAAGAAGAACTCTGCATGAACCTCAACTTGGTAGAGGAGGCAAGGGAGATGTCTGTGGTCCGCAACACGGAGTACAAGCGCCTCTTGGCAAAGTACTACAACTTGAGGGTGAAACCTTGTTCTTTCCAACCAGGAGACTGGGTCCTCAAGAAAGTGATCCATGCTACAAAAGATTCACGAGAAGGAAAGCTGGGACTAATTTGGGAGGGACCCTACCTCACAACAAAAGTGATGAGGTCGGGCACCTACAAGATACAGAGTTCTGAGGGTAAGGTTTTGCCCCATCCATGGAATATTGAGCACTTAAAGAGGCACTACCAATGATGCCTTGAGAGAGTCAAAGTAGAAAAGTTGGGAACTTAATTTTATTTTTTGTACTTTTTGTGGGGCTATTACCTAATATTGCTTTTACATAAGCAGTGAAATGAATAAAACTTTCTAGATTTACTACAAAATAATTTTTACATTTTTGTATTCAATTTCTCAACTTCAAAGGAGCATCAGTGGCAAAAACAACTTTTACAAATGTAGGGCTACAAAATGTTTTCCTAAAAAAAAAAAGAAAGAGAAAAATCAAAAAGTCCCTAGCACTCTAACTACTCTCATGATCATCATCTTCCTCCTCATCATCACCTTCGGCATCGTCAGAGCCTCCATCACTATCATTAGGCGCCTTAGTCGACAAGAAGCCTAAGACATCAATATTGGGGAAAGTAGTAAAAAACTTTCCCTAGAGCTCTTCATAACCGTCATTGAAAGCATCTACAATGTCATTCTCCAGATCCGCCTCAGCCCAAAAAGCTCTCTACTAAGCAGTATTCACCTCTGCCTCTGTGGCAGCCTCTCTGAGCATGGCCCTCTCACTGGTCTTTACAAGCTTAGCCTCACTGAGCATGGTCCTCTCATGGACCTCAGTAAGCTCAGCCTCGAGCTTGGTCACCCTCCCATGGGTCGCCAAAAGATTAGCCTCACTAAGCGTGGCCCTCTCACAGACCTCAGCAATCTTAGTCTCGAGCCTGGCCACCCTCCCATGGGTTGCCAAAAGCTCAGTCTCAAGACCAGTTGCCCTCTCACGGGTTGCCACAAGGTCAGCATCAGAAGCCCTGCCAGTGACTTCAAGCTCGACGATCCTCCCTTGAGCAGCTAGAAGCTCATTTTACAGGACTTCATGATTGTGTTTCAACTAGTGATAAAGGAGGGTCCTTGAAATTAAACACATAGATGCGGTTGAGGCCTGAAGAAAAACAAAAAAAAATGTCAAACACTTATGAAAAGACGGGCGAAAGGGGAGATAAAAAACCCTTACTTGATCCCAGCCTTCCAAAATAGAGTTAAGGATTTTCTCGGTGCCTAAGGTACTAATCTTATTCACATCATTGGGAAACACAAACCTCCCAAGTCGATCTTTGATGACCTACGCATTACCTAACATGGAGCTAGTTTGAGAAGATGCCCCATTAGAAGTCCCCATAGGAGGAGTAGATGAGCGGGGAACAGAAGGTGTGGGCAACAAGTGGGATTCTAGAGCAGGAGATGCAACTGAGGGAGTCTTCGATTGAGGATCCACCACTGGAGGGGTCACTTGAGGGGAGCGCGCCCGAAATACCACTGGAGGGGTTAACTGAGGAGAGCTCACCTAGGGCAGCATCATTGGAGAGGTCATTTGGGCAAATATAAAACGACATTTTCAACTATGACAGTTAGATTGCAGTTCAGTGATCAACTTATCTCTTGTGGTAAAATAATACCAACCCCGATTGGGAGCAGGGGTCTTGTTCAATGTATAAGCTCTAAGAAACTCCATCGGAGAGGCATCCTCATGATGCACCTTCCTCCACAACACGAGAAAGCTCAACAAAATCCTCCAATTGTTGGGGACAATTTCCCTGGGGTGAGTGAAAAATAATAGAGAATGCGACAAATAGAAAGAGACATGGGGAACCTGAGCCCAACCTCAAGCATCTCTTCATAGATGACAATATCCCTAGAAGAATTATTAGAGGCGAGCTCACCCATCTCAGCTTGACAGCTTAGAACCGTTTGGGTTATGTGATAAGCAGAAACAATCCTTAGAATATCATCATCAGTGTTGAACAAACTATAAAGAGTACTTACTTTGGACCCATCATCGTCAAGAGCTACTTTGCCTTTACGCCTTTTGTTGCAGGGGTGTGAAGAATTTCCTGAGCCACTACCAGAGAGGCCCTGAGGAATTTGATTTTGAGAAGTAACAACCACACAGAGGAGCCAGATCGTCATTAAAAGTGTTCGGCGTACTCTATCTTTTGACTCTAGAACCAGACTCATCTGAGGCACCTCCATGCTCGCCCAAACCATCTCCAACCAGGGACATAATGAAAGGTGGCCCCATCCATGCGTGCACAGCAGTCCGTGGCCCCGAAACTCCCTCGCCCTGCTCACCCGCTGTGGGGGCTACTCGCCTAAGGGCCTTAGCTGCTTGCCCACTGGCCTGGGCTGCTCACCCGCTGGGTTGGGCGGCTCTCCCACTGCCCTGGGCCTGCTCGCCTGCTCCCATGTCCCTTCCAGCAGGTGCCAAACTCATTAAACCAGCAGTGCCCCCAACAGCCAGATCTAGGCGTCCACTGGTACTCACCAAATCAGTGCGCCTAGCCTCATCTCTGCGCACAATCGAGGCGCCCAAGGACAGCTCCTCCCTTGCCTCACCTATTGCACGAGCAGTCATGAAAACAACATCTGCAAACTACTTTGTGCGCCTAGCGACACTGATCTGCTCACCAAAGCTGGCCAAACTAGCACCTAGGTGGGCGCCTAACCCGATCTACTCGCCCAAGTCGACCAACCTAGCACCTAGCGCCTCTTCCTTGCGCACCCCAGCACACCTAACAGCGAGAGCCCCCTTTATCCCCACTCTTTCGCCTACGAGCAATTGTAGAATGGGCGCCCATGGCGCCTCCACACCGGCGCCCAACACCTACCCTTCCTTTCCAGGCTCTACACCGAGATTCGAAGACCTCTGACCATCTTCTCCATCAATCACCATAGCTCTTTGAAATGCTTAAACTCAAGAAATTTCTTGAAAGATTTCTAGAAGAACACTCCCTCAAGCTTCTATGGAATGGGTGGAACATGGGCTCTTAAGGGTTTTAGGAAGGAGTTCAATCCTAAGATGAATGAAATGGGCAAGAATGAAGAAGAAAGCTTTTTATTTATAACTAAGGTTTCTTGAAATCATGGAAATAGCAAAAAACCCCAATTTACAACCTAGGGCTCTTCAAGAATGCAAAAGGGGGAGTGAAAGAAGGAGTTTATATAACTAATGGAGTTCCCCCAGACAAGAGGAGTCTACTGAAAGGGAGGAAATTGTCAATCAAAAGAATTTTTTTTTTTTAAATTCGGATTTAAAAAGGATTGTAGGCTATTTTGACCGTAACTCCAAACGGGACTTATTATATATCAAATCGAAACTCTCGATGAGCTTTACAAAACTCATTATCATTTGGCAATGAGCCATGTAGAAAAAAGTCCAAAAAAGGCCTAGAAACATAAGTTTTGGCCTCCCGAAGCTTTTTCAAAAAAAAAAAAAAAATTTGCGTTCAACTGCTTGCTCGCCCAGGACATTGCCTGCTTGCCCAGAGGTTGCCTACTCACCCAAACCGGGTGCCCAGCTCCTTGCTTGCTGTTTTGATCCTAACTTTTGCTCCGTTACTCTAAATAGGGCCAATAATATATTAAATCGAAACACTCAGCAAGCCCTACAAGACTCACAGCCTTTGGTTGTGATTGAGGCTGTTAAAAGCTCAAAAAAAGCCTAAAAGCACAAGTTTTGGCCTCTCGAAATTTTTCCAGCTATGCTGGTCAGTTGAAAATCCAAACTCAAAAAGATCCGCTAAGTCCAGCTCAATGTGATCAACTCGGAAAAGCTCATCAGGAAGATATGTCACCAAGGGAGTATCCAGGAGCCTCACCTTCGCCACCTTAGAAACCAAATCTCAAGCACCATAACTGTCTTGCCCGTTGAGAAAAGGTGCATCTCTGCCGGATCAGCTACTTAACTACCATAAAGTCACCCAATCTGTTATGACCGTCAGACTAGCTATTTAATTAATATGCTGAGCAACTATAAATTGTAAGTCACACAAACATTTGAGGGGCATTAAACTCGTTTGAGCATAATTCTCTCCAAAGCTTGAAACCATTTGCTCTCCCTCTACACCAAAATTAATAAAATTCTCGACGACTCTTGTCATTCCAAGTGGACGTAGGTTACTTTGACCGAACCACTATAAACTTGATCTTTTATGTCCCTCTACTTTACTGCATTTTATACTGTTTAATTAATAAGTGGTGAACAAACCAATTTGTGTATCATAAAAAATAATTGATGTCCTCTCATGCCAACAATAGTACACACAAAATTGGTGAAAAGCATACATTGTTGGATTCTTGAGAAATAATGTTGAATTTACACTAAATATTCTACTAAAGCTCTCTCTTTCTTCACAAATCCACCAAACAATGCACATGTTACATGAGCAAAAAATGAGTTTTAGTCCGGGCTGACCCCCACCCCTATACGGGAGAGGGTTAGATCATTGTAACACCTTTAGAACAATAGGCTTAATGAGATCTAAATATGTCAATCGAAATAGACTGTTGAGATACCAATTAATATAAGCAAACCGATATGTATATTTGTAGAAATACATGTGTCAAATTGTAATAATTCTGTCCTTACTAATAACACTCTACGAAATCATCACAACATTCATCCACTGTTTTCTTCTTCCGACAAGCGACCGGCCGGGGGATGTAGGGTGGTGTTGTGCATCTCAATAGTGCCCAATTGACACCATCAAAAAATGGATGGTGTTTGATAGCTGTGGCCCCCATTGTGGATCCCATTCGCTTTGTGGGGTCCTTGATCAATAGTTGTGTGATCAATTCCTTCGCGGGGCCCGCCACGGTGGGCTGCTTAGGGAATTCAAGTGCTCGAGCCACAATGTTAGCAAGGGTGAACTCATTGTCGTCTCCCCTAAATGGTGTCACCCCATAGATCATTTCAAATATGAAGATCCCTAAGGTCCACCAATCCACAGCATTGCCATGGCCTTCACCTGATACAATCTCTGGGGCCAAGTACTCGTGGGTCCCGACAAATGACATGGATCGAGCATCGATTGGCTCTGCTACAAAATCAAGGCCTTCGCGGCAGCGGCGACGGCGACCGGGCCACCTCTTCTTCTTACCAATGGGGAGAAAGCAAGAGACAACTGGCACAATACAATTAGGAAGAATGCATGATGATGTGGAAGACTGAGATGCTTTGATTAGGTATTTGTTTTTCGAATTTGTGGCTGGTTGGTTTTGATAGACAAGTTGAGCCGTTGATATCGAGTTGTCACATTGCATGCAAAGATCAAAATCAGTGAGCATGATATGACCGTTCGATCTTACAAGTACGTTTTCAGGTTTTAGATCACGATAGATTATCCCCATCATGTGGAGGTACTCTAGAGCAGCAACCACTTCTGATGCATAGAACCTGTAACAATCAAGACAACAATCAATTATTAGTTTAAGTTTTTTTTTTAGTGTTAGATTTTTGTCTGTTAGGATTGGTTATTCAAAGTCCACCACCTGGAACATTGGCAACATGGGCCCACAGTAGGTCAGCAGCCTTGGACCAACTGCTGAACCCACATATAATGATGCTTCATTGTGAATATGGATAGTTTCCAATTAAATTATTTTAATATTTTAAATTTATTGAGTCGTAGTAACATCTAAAATACTCGTAGAATCCCTTAATTGGGATTTGACAAATATAACGGTGTAAGATTGAATTTGATCAAATTAATAAAATTTAAAATATAAAGGATTAGGATCCCTTCATTTTAATCATGAAAAATTCTAATCATCTTGCATGATTGTATCATACTTCTATTAAGCGTGACCAAATGAATAATTTTTTATCATTCATGAGAGAGAGAGAGGATCATGCAAAACTACTCACCGGACGGCAGTTTCATCAAATCTCCTTTCTGGCTGCCGTTGCCGGTGAACATGGAGGTCGCCACCGGGACAGAACTCAGTCAACAAACAAGACCACTTAGCAGAATCTAAGGTGGCATAAAGGGTGGGCAAAAAAGGGTGGTCCAACATTTCCAACACTTCCCTCTCTATCTTTTCCCTAGTTTCTTTGCTCCTATACAACAGCTCTTCCTTGTCCATCACCTTAGCAGCAAAACTGCACCCACTGGCTCCTTTTAGCTCCACGAGGTACACGCTGCCTATGTCGCCGCTCCCGAGCCTCTGGATAAACCGGAGGTCTTGGAGGCTGACGGTGGTGGATTCTAATTGAACACGACGTATGGCGTCCCAGCATGGGTCGCCAGACGTCCCATGGTGCTTGGTGGAGGATGAAGCAAGGCTCGAGGCAGCCCCTGTGGTGGCTTCTGACACAGAGCTCATACTAACCTTTGTTTCAATACCAGAGTCAAAACTAAAGACGTCCGAGTCTTCGTTGACATCATCAATGAATGTTTGCATGGTTCAACTGGTGGCAATGGTGGTGGTGGATAAAAAGATGGTGGTGGTGGTGGAGCCTTAAGTTGAAGGAGGGGAGTGTGTGAAGAGTTTTTGAAGGGCGTGGGCAAGGGAATCTGAGTTTGGGCCGGCAGGGTGGAGCTTGGTCATTGTGCCGGCTGTTTGAATGGAGAATGGGACCAGTAAAGGCCTAAAAGTTGGATAGCATATTGATTATTATTTAAACTTCATTTTGAATATCATCTACCTTATGTTGTATTAGGTCTGTTGATTATTATAAGGAGGCAGGGTGCTGGCAAATATGAACCATTATTGTTTAGCCATGTCTTCATAGTCCAATACCCGAAATTTCGGTTTTTTTTTAGAGTTTGGGAACAATCAACTGACGTGAGTGTGTGTATAAATTTATTTTTCTAGCTACCTTTATATTATTGTGCTTTGATCATTCAGCGAAATTAATTTAAGCCGAAAAATTGTATATGGTCCATATTTTCCACATATCATGGATATCAAACATCAACATTGCGAAGAATAATAGTATGTCTTGGTTTGGGTGACGTCAAATATTATATTGCAAACTAGCTTTTTAAAGTAAAAACTAATGAATAAATATAATGGTATGTGGAAGTAACAGCTAGAGAAGTACAACCTCATGGGGACCTAATATTCTGTAAAAGACCCTAAAAAAACTACTTTCTTTTTACTAGATGCTTACCTTTTATTTATTTATTTATGATTATCCTAAATAATATACAATTAATTGTTTCAAGATGCCTTATTCCCAAATGTTGATTATACTTGTTAGTGTGCGAATGATTTAAGAGCACCAATAGCATCTGAAAACAAAGCTTTTGTCGTCTACTTGGTCTTGATTTGTGTATCTGTCTATGATAGAGTTTCTTAGCGGGGGAATCTCATTTTATACTTCAAAAGATTTAAAAAAATTTCGCCTTAAAGATGAGATTTGCACCACCAATATATTAATAGTATTGTAATATGACTTTTTCGTTGTCTACTCCGCCAAAACTCACCTCATTATTGTTGATAGAATGAATAACAGAAATTAGTGGGAGGACCACATTATAATACATTTAATGTATTAATGGTATAATATGAAAAATTTAATCTTTGGGAGAACAAAATAATAATTTTAAAATTTTTTAACAGGAAAGTCAGTAAGCCCTTTAATGGGCTTAACACTTAAACTAACCAAAACCAGTTGTTTTTTCCCCCTCAAACCCCATCAAAAGAAAAAGAAATCCTTGCCTTCTTAGGATCCCACTAGAAAGTTCTAATTATAACCACCAAGCACAATACCCTGAAGCTAAAATTTATAAACAACAAAAAAAAAATTTGAATGAGTTTTTAATTAACTTAGCAAGTTCAGTATTTAATGAGG